CCTAATAAAGAAACCATACGATGGATGCACAAACCACGATGTAGTCAAGGAGAACATAATTAAATGAAACATTCGAAATGGCGAAAATTAAATTTAATATGGTATTTTCCCCAAGCCGGTTTACAAAACAACTTATATTTATCCACAGCCAAACAGGCTTTCGATATGTGGGAAGGAATATCAAATTTAAAGTTTACTAATGTAAGAAAACCGAAGCCAACAAAACCGGATATTACCATAACGGTAGTTAAAAGGAAACATTATTGTCGTTCTGATTGTCAAGGGAATTCAATGTGTCCTCAACTATTTGATGGTCCCGGAAAAGTTTTAGGTCACTCCTATTTTCCCCCCGCAAAACCAAATGAATGTATCGAAATTCATATTGACGATAGTGAAAATTGGTATTGGGGTAATGAAACGACTCGCGAAGGTAAAACAAGTTTCCTAGCCGTGCTTGCACACGAGATTGGCCATTCTTTAGCTTTGGGTCATAGTTCCATTCAAACTTCGATTATGTTTGATTGGTATCAAGATAGAGTTGAAGACGAAGATGATAAATTAGGAATGGAAGCATTGTACGGTAGGAAATACCAGTTGAGATATCTAGAATGGTTTACGTTCTGAAGTTTGAAAAAATCAGCGGTAAGGAATTTGGTTCAATCCCACGCAGTGCTGAAATTTTTTTTTTGGCATTTTTTGTTGTTTTAATGTTTTTTTGTCAAGAATAAAAATATGGCATCATTTTAAAGGCTCTACCTACTAACGAGATTTTGCGTTATTAAAATGGGGACTACCGAGTTGTACCACGACTACCTGAATTAATCCCTTACCGTTCTTTATCCGGATTACATTGACTACCGAGTTGTACCACGACGTAATTACCCCTAATGGCCTTAATACGCTCGGGATCGCCGAGTTGTACCACGGGATAGCATTTATGCCAAGCGTGGTACCGTAAAATTTTAAATTTAGGACTATCTAATGAATACAAGTAGTTTCATTCGGTACTGAAAAACAGTTTTTATTCTCCTCACCCAAATATATTTCTTTTCACAGACATGCTAATAAATATACAAAGTGAGACGTTCGCTAAAATTAAGACTGCCAGTGAATCAGAAAATAATAAAAAACTGAAGTGTGTTACAAGAAAGAAATTCGATTTTATAGCATTAAAAATTAATGAATTTAAAGAAAACAAAATTAATAAATTTGATTTTGTAAAGTCTTTAAGTTTTTACTATTTGCCGCAGTAGAGCTTATTTTATTTTATTGTATTTTATTGTATTTTATTTTATTGTATTTTAGTGTATTTTATTTTATTTTATTTTATTTTATTTTATTTTCTACTATAATTTTGTATCTAATTTATAATAAAATTGTTAATGGTTATTGTCGGGTTTTATTTTTTAAGCCGTTAAGCCTCATTAGAAAATTCGGTGGTACAACTCGGTAGTAGGATTAGGCCTACCTGCTATCCCGTGGTACAACTCGGCGACCCCGATTAAAATTTACACTTAATTGTCGCAGCTTTTATTTAAATAAAAACAAAATTATATCTCAACTAAGCTCGTCTTATTTTAAATATTTCTATTTAACATTTTTTAGACAAAAACAGTAGAAAAAACCAAAAAAAAAAGAAAAAAATTTCTGTACTGCGCGGGGATTGAACCACATTACTTCCCGCTAAAATTTACATTCCCCTCAAATCTATTACTTTTCAACTTTTCATTATTCTATACCAAATTAGCTATATACATCATGTTGGGCTCCGGAAAAAATGTAATAAGTGAAAAATTATGTGTGAAATATAATTTAATTTCAAATTTTAATTTAATATAATTAAATTTTTTAATATAATATAATTTAACATTTCGGATACATAAATAGCTCTGATAATGCTATTATCGATTTGGAAACGGCTTTAATCTCGTTTCTTATTTTTTTTTTCAACAACAGCACGTGCGTGTAACCTATCAGAACTTGCATTTCCTTCAAATGTTGTTATCTTTTGTTTTTTATTTTATCAGAAATTGCAAATCTATACAAATTTCCTGTAAAATTTTTTTATCTTAATTAACACCACCAGATAAATTCTTCGTTGATAACAGTTCCTATTTAAGGGGACCCTTCAGACGTGTTCCGTGAACAAGTTAAAAAAAAATACGAAATGGAATCGCCACCATCACTATTAAATGCGGCGTTAGCTGTGCTGGCAACGGCGATGGTACGGGAGGCAGTGTCAAACACCGAATTTGCTGTAAGTAGAAAACATTTTATTTTATTTATAAATTATTTATATTTTTAATTTATTGCAGAATTTCGAAATAGTGCCAGTTAGGGTAAATTTGGAGGAGCAGGCGCTCCCTAGCCAATTCCATGCCCTAGGACAGATCCTAGTATATAGAATTGGATACACCGTTGAGGTGGACGCGGCGGAGCCATTTATTACTTGTTGGATATTGAGGTTGGTTTATAATTTTCTTTTTTTTTTTTTAATTATTTTAATTTTTTTTTTTTTCGTTACAGTTAAATTCAACATTTTATTGAAAAATTGACGACAAAAGTATGAATAAAGAGGTTTTTGAAATTTTATTTATTTGAAATGAAATTATATTTCACACATAATTTTTCACTTATTACATTTTTTCCGGAGCCCAACATGTTATATATATAGCTAATTTGGTATAGAATAATGAAAAGTTGAAAAGTAATAGATTTGAGGGGAATGTAAATTTTAGCGGGAAGTAATGTGGTTCAATCACCGCGCAGTACAGAAATTTTTTTCTTTTTTTTGGTTTTTTCTAATGTTTTTGTCTAAAAAAATTAAATAGAAATATTTAAAATAAGACGAGCTTATTTGAGATATAATTTTATTTTTATTTAAATAAAAACTGCGACAATTAAGTGTCAATTTTAATAACGCAAAATCTCGTTAGTAGGTAGAGCCTTTAAAATGATGCCATATTTTTATTCTTGACAAAAAAAACAAAAAATGCCAAAGAAAAAAAATTTCAGCACTGCGTGGGATTGAACCAAATTCCTTACCGCTGATTTTTTCAAACTTCAGAACGTAAACCATTCCAGATATCTCCACTGGTATTTCCTACCGTACAATGCTTCCATTCCTAATTTATCATCTTCGTCCAATGTAACTCTATCTTGATACCAATCAAACATAATCGAAGTTTGAATGGAACTATGACCCAAACCTAAAGAATGGCCAATCTCGTGTGCAAGCACGGCTAGGAAACTTGTTTTACCTTCGGGAGTCGTTTCATTACCCCAATACCAATTTTCACTATCGTCAATATGAATTTCGATACATTCATTTGGTTTTGCGGGGGGAAAATAGGAGTGAGCTAAAACTTTTCCGGGACCAGTTGAGGACACATTGAATTCCCTTGACAATCAGAACGAAAATAATGTTTCCTTTTAACTACCGTTATGGTAATATCCGGTTTTGTTGGCTTCGGTTTTCTTACATTAGTAAACTTTAAATTTGATATTCCTTCCCACATATCGAAAGCCTGTTTGGCTGTGGATAAATATAAGTTGTTTTGTAAACCGGCTTGGGGAAAATACCATATTAAATTTAATTTTCGCCATTTCGAATGTTTCATATAATTATGTTCTCCTTGACTACATCGTGGTTTGTGCATCCATCGTATGGTTTCTTTATTAGGTAATCCATCTACCGGAAGATTGTATTTTTCTTGAAACGAGATTAAAGCTGTTTCCAAATCGATAATAGCATTATCAGAGCTATTTATGTATCCGAAATGTTGCAAAATTTTTTTCGCATATTCCTCATCGCTAGTAGTTATCGTCGCTGTCGATGCAGCGATGAAAACCAACAACACTCTGAACATTTTCGATACTATTTGAAAATCAAACTTTATATAGAATTTATAATCGAAGACCCGCCCCTACGTTACACACACACACTACTCCAACCCCCACCCCCGCCCCCAGCCATCGAAGACATCAACCACCCCGTGAACCGCGCCCTCCGCGACATACTACTTTATATACTCAACTTTTTACATTTTTTACTAAAACGTCTCCTTAGTCTAGCTATTAGGGACTCGCCTCTCCACCACAAGCTACCATGGTTCAAATCCCAGGTTAGTACACTTTTTTTCTCAAAATTTAATGTTTCATGTGTCAGGAGAGTTGCCTATAATGTCACAGAGTGAGTGACGATGACAGATGTGACGTTGACAGCTGTCATGTGTGTAACGTTGACCGATGTCATGTGTGTGACGTTGACAAATGTCACCTCTCTCTGTCTCTCTCTAACACATTGGTATACCTCTCTCTGTCTAACACATTGTTTTCCCTATGACCATGCTAGAACCGGCCTTGTGTATCTACTTTAATTTAAAGTTTGATTGTTTAGAAATTAAATCAAATTATAAATTTTCAAAAAGTGCCGACACAGAAAAATTCACATTATCTGATACAGATTCTGATATACAGGGCCTTGAAATCATGTCGATTTGAACATAAAAATGGCCATAACTTTTTAAATACTTAGTATAGTCATACTAAGTATACTATGTATGTCTATGAATGTCATACGTATACTATGAATGTCATAATATGTAGTCATATGAAATCTTATATTGAGAAACTCGTGAATACGAGCTGAAATCGAATATGAAATAAAAAATATATCATTGCCTTTAAAAAAAGGTATGTTTGGTATGGCTTCGATTTATGGGCCACCCTGTATATTTCGAAATAATTTTAAATTGTGCGCTTAAAGGTGCCTAACATTTTTCCTATTTATCATTTTTTCGTATCTATTATAATAACTGAGTAAATGGGCTTTACCGCACTATTGGGACACCTTGTATCTGTCACATCAAGATTTTCATTTCAACCTTGCAACGTTGCAACATGTTGGCTTGTGACGTCATTGCCTAGCGAGCGCGAATGTCCTTTAGCTTAATTAATAATATACAAGTTCGAATAATGCGAATGTATTGTCGTTTCAGGCGCACAAAGCCTTAGCTCTGTACGAAAATAAATGCAACAAGGAAGGCAAAAGCCTGACAATCGTAACTCAAAACGTCGACGGGTTACATCAAAGGGCCGGCTCCGCGAACGTCGTTGAATTGCACGGCGCCTTGCATAAAGTGAAATGCACGAATAGCAAATGTAAATTCATAGACGAGAATTACGACAACCCGATTTGCGAGGCCCTCAGAGGCAGGGGGTGAGTGATTTGTTTTGTTTTCTTCGGTTTTTCATCGTCCATCAGTTGATTCGTTGATTGATCGTAGCGACCCGGCCGAGGACAATTACGATCTTCCTTTAATCGACAAAAAGGAACTGCCGTCTTGTAAACGGTGCAAGCACTTGGTGAGGCCTTACATCGTTTGGTTCGGGGAGAATTTGGACGTTAAAGTGATGACAGCCGCAAGTAAGCTATGCAAATATTGTATCGTTGGTTGCGTTGTATTTAGAGCTTGGAAATTTTGCACTGAAAACGGCAGAATATGCACTAAAAACCTTCGAAATATGCCCTTGTACAGGGTGTTTCATTGGGAAAGGGCAATATTTTAACCCTGTATAGAGGTCACTCAGGGGATTAAAAAATTCTGGAGTGGTCTAAGTGGTTCTGGCAGTTACAAATGAATTTGGAGCAGCCTAAATCATTCTAGACAGTTCTAAATGATTCTTGAGCGTTTTAAATAGTTATAAATGATTCGGGAGCATTCTACATCAATCTGAAGTTGTAGACAGTTCTAAATGATTATTAAAATTAAAATGTTTAAGAAAGAATCCAACAAAAAAAACCGAATAAAAACTAATTTCTAAAGTCTTGTTTCATTTTACAAATTCTTTTAAGTAGGTGCGATGAATAGTGGTTGTGATGAAATGCCTGCGATGGAATGTCGCGTGATGAATAGTCGTGTGTGATGATGGAACGTCGTGGAATCATATAAGGGCATATTTCGAAGGTTTTTAGCGCATATTTTGCCATTTTCAGTGCAAAATTTCCAAGCTCTAAATACAGGGTGTTTCATTGGGAAAGGGCAATATTTTAACCCTGTATAGAGGTCACCCAGGGGATTACAAAAAACCCATATACTATGGGTCTTGCGCCCTTTATAACCGAGTTACAGGGTGTTTTTTGAATTTGGCCCATTTCTTTCGACACCTATAACTTTTGAATCACTCAGTATATTTTTTTGATATTTGGCATAGATATTCTATACCTTTAGGACAATTTATTGCCACATTAAAAAAATTTCAAAATCCAGGTCCGGATTTAGAAAAATTAATAAAATTTGACCGACCCTAAAACAACACCCTATACATCATATTTTTAAAAATTTAATTTCAAATTCAGAAAGAGCATAAAAAACTGAATGTATTCATCAACTTTTTATTTTCCCGCAAACCGTTTTTCTACCAAAATTTAAACGTTAAAATGTATATTATGAGATTTTTGGTCCATGTAAATTGTAATTGAAGGGATTTTAATTATTTTTTCTTTAATAAAATCAGATTTACTTAACACTTTCATAAGAATTCTTGAAATAGACCTATTGAACTTGAATTAACATTCACATAAACCAATAAAAATTACAATTAAAGATCCGCACCTAATAAAATTAAAATGATTTCATTTCATTTAATAATTAATCATTGATTATTTAATTTTTACATTTCTACATGAGAAAATTCAAAACTTAACTAAGTAATTTACTAGATTTTTCAAAAAAGATACTAGAATAAGTATTCTTTTCCACACCACCAAGAGGTAGAACACAAGGCGCGTTTTTCTAATGAGGTATCCCCAATAGGCCGAATCCACACGAACTGGCAAAATGGAACAATGAATAAAAAATATGAAAAATAAACAAAAAAATTAACAAAAAACAACTCTAAAACCAAAAGAACAAGAAATTTGGTTTTTAACCAAATAATTAATATCTTCTAATTTAATACTAATTATAAATAACAAAATGATAACTAACAAACTAACAATAAAAAACACCAGAAAAAAAGTCATTTTAACAATTGCTCAAAATGTTCTCCATTTTGTTTGATACATAATCTAGCTCTCCTAATCAAGTTGCAAATAAATCTTCTAAGAACATTGGGATTGTTTTTTAATTCTTTAAAAGTGCTTACTAGGTAAATGTGTTCTACCTCTTGGTGGTGTTGAAAAGAGTACTTTTAGTATCTTTTGTAAAGAAGCTAATAAATTACATAGTTAAGTTTTGAATTTTCTCATGTAGAAATGTAAACATTGATTAATTATTAAATGAATTGAAATCATTTTAATTTTATTAAGTGCGGATCTGTAATTGTAATTTTTATTGGTTTATGTGAGTGTTAATTCAAGTTCAATAGGTCTATTTCAAGAATTTTCTTGAAAGTGTTAAGTAAATCTGGTTTTATTAAAGAAAAAATAATTAAAATCCCTTCAATTACAATTTACATGGACCAAAAATCTCATAATGTACATTTTAACGTTTAAAATTTGGTAGAAAAACGGCATCCGGTAAAATAAAAAGTTGATGAATACATTCAGTTTTTTATGCTCTTTCTGAATTTGAAATTAAATTTTTAAAAATATGATGTATAGGGTGTTGTTTTAGGGTCGGTCAAATTTTATTAATTTTTCTAAATCCGAACCTGGATTTTGTAATTTTTTAATGTGGCAATAAATTGTCCTAAAGGTATAGAATATCTATGCCAAATATCAAAAAAATATACTGAGTGATTCAAAAGTTATAGGTGTCGAAAGAAATGGGCCAAATTCAAAAAACACCCTGTAACTCGGTTATAAAGGGCGCAAGACCCATAGTATATGGGTTTTTTGTAATCCCCTGGGAGACCTCTATACAGGGTTAAAATATTGCCCTTTCCCAATGAAACACCCTGTATTTAGAGCTTGGAAATTTTGCACTGAAAATAGCAAAATATGCACTAAAAACCTTCGAAATATGCCCTTATATGATTCCACGACGTTTCATCATCACACACGACTATTCATCACGCGACATTCCATCGCAGGCATTTCATCACAACCACTATTCATCGCACCTACTTAAAAGAATTTGTAAAATGAAACAAGACTTTAGAAATTAGTTTTTATTCGTTTTTTTTTTGTTGGATTCTTTCTTAAACATTTTAATTTTAATAATCATTTAGAACTGTCTACAACTTCAGATTGATGTAGAATGCTCCCGAATCATTTATAACTATTTAAAACGCTCAAGAATCATTTAGAACTGTTCAAAGTTCAAAACCAGTTAGAATTCAAAACGCTCAAAAATCATTTAGAACTGTCTAGAATGATTTAGGCTGCTCCAAATTCATTTGTAACTGCCAGAACCACTTATACCACTCCAGAATTTTTTAAAACTATCCAAAACCATTTAGAATATTCCAGAATCATTTAGAACTGTTCAAAACCAGTTAGAACGCTCCAGAATCTTTTAGAACGATCCAAAACTATTTTGAATACTACAGAATCTTTTAAAACTGTCCAAAACCAGTTAGAACGCTCCAGAACCGTTCAGAACGTTCCAGAATCATTTAGAACTGTCTTGAACAATTAAGAACGATCCACGGCCATTTAGAACGCTCAAGAATCATTTAGAACTGTCTAGAATCATTTAGGCTGCTCCAAATTCATTTATAACTGTCTAGAACCACATAGACCGCTTCAGATTTTTTTAGAACTATCCAAAACCATTTAGAATAGTCCAGAACCATTTAGAACGCTCCAGAATCTTTCGGAACTAACTAGAACCATTTAGAACACTCCAGAAATGTTCAGAAGACTAAATTTAAGAGTTCTCAAAATGAGCAGTGGATTTTTCTTTTAGTTACCCGAATTTGCAAGTAATTGTTAACGTTTTTACTTTATTTTTTTATTATTAATTTTAACGTATTTTAATTATTTATTGGCAAAATATATTGAAAAATGCTAAATTATATTTTGCAGAATTATATCTACATTTTGTATTTGTGGGGGTAAATATGCATGTTTGCACTTTACATGCATTTTGCATTATTTTCCAGGCTCTGGACCATTTCCAACTGTATTTCAGAAAGCGTCAGGTTCATTTAAGAATGCGTCGATTGTATTTCAGAATAGTCAATTTGATTTCAGAAATCATTAATTGAATTTCAGAATAGTCAGTTCGACTTCGGAAAGTTTGGAAACGATCATTTGAATTTCAAAATAGTCAAATTCATTTCAGAAACCATCATTTGTATTCCGGAATTCTTCAATATCTACAGGGTGGCACATTAGTATGGAAAAGCTCAATATATCTGTTATTGTAGATGATATCAAAAAAACGTCATTACAAAAGTTGTAGATCTTTTTAAACTACACATTTTAAAATTAGTTACATTCATACAGAGTGTCCCGTTTTTCCGTAGTAGATCAAACTTATACTTTTTTAAATGGAACACCCTGTTTTTATTTAAAAATTGAATTTAGCTCGTTTTCAGCTTTCCAAAAATATAATTTTGTATAACGTTATACTGAGTGGTTTAAAAGTTATGACCATTTTTCCACGAAAATCGTACTAAGTTTACCACTCTGTAGAAACTAAATGGATTGAATTGAAAATAAATTTCACGTTTTACAACATTGCAAATATACTGAAAATGTACAAAATGAATATTTTTTGTCAATTTTAATCATACTGCTTACAGGGTGGATCCAAACGCAAAAGTAACATTTTCTCTGTTAATTTAAATGGATCGCCCTATATTTTATATCGTTAACAGGAAGTATTTTTGAAGTACTTTCATTCTTAATAACCATTCCCTATACCTAAAGTTAACACTTTTCGAGATATTCCAATTAAAAAAAAATAGAAAGGAATACTGAAGAAAAAAAATTAAGGTTTCTTTTTAATCGAAGTACACTTTACAGAAAGAAGTAAGAAACGTCAATTAAATACTATCTGGTATATCTTTTCAATCTCAATTTTAGAAAAAAATATAAAGGTATCAGTTCCAGAAGAATAATTTCGATTTCAGAAAAACATATTTTAATCCCGGAGAGAAGTGGAGAGAAATTGTGGAGTGGACTGAGTTTTTCTTCATCGTTAATAATTGTAATAATAATTGTCATATGATTTCTGCATTCCAAATGGGGCTCTGAAATCCTTTTGACGGTTTCCGAAATACGAATGACACTTTCCGAAACGCAAATGATAATTTCTGAAATCAAATTGACTATTCTGAAATGCAATTGATGATTTCTGAAATCAAACTTAGATTATTTCAAAAACTACTGGATTTGGGCATAGGGAATACCCATATGGATTGAAAGGGCTTAAAAAACTGCATTGGTCACTGTTTAAAAATATAGGGTGGTCCATTTAAAATAAAAAAGTTATGACCACTTTAATTTGCCCAAGTTTGTCAGACAATTTTAAACGCCCTGTATATTGATTCTGAAAATACAGTTAAGTTTCACTTAGTAGTATATCTGGACATCATCTATACTCAATTTCAAGCTTCTAGCTGCATTATTAACAGAGACATCACAGAAAATACATTCGACTGTTTTTCCAAAAAATATCGAAAAAATTGTAATATCTTAAAAATGGTGCATTTTTGGCATACAAAAAAAAACAAAAAAAAAACAAAAAGGCCATAGAATTCAAGAATGAAGTTAAAAATAGCACTTTTCATTTAAAATAAGGAAGTTGGTGTCAACTTCCGGTATAACCGGAAGTATAATCAAAATGAAAATATTTTAGATCAATTCAAATTATCCAAAAAATACTATAACCAAAATTTCAGATTTTTAAGTCTTTTCATTATTGAGATACTTCTAATGGACGGTTACCGTGAAAAGCCCTGTATACGCTCCCGAATTATTGACTTCTATTTTCTGGACACCCCGTATAAGTGACTATTCTTAAATTCAATTGACGCCTTCTGACATACAACTCGAAAAGGTGTAGTAACATTCGATTGTATCGGTTTCCAGGAGAAGCGATAGATACTTGCGATTTGTGCATAGTCGTCGGGACATCGTCTGTCGTCTATCCGGCCGCCATGTTTGCTCCTTCGGCTGCTGAAAGAGGCGTACCCGTTGCGGAATTTAATCTCAACGAAGAGCCCGCTGATGAGAAGTTCTCCTTCCATTTTCCCGGTCCCTGCGGCTCGACTTTGCCCAGGGCCCTGGGTGTGGAATCAGTATAGATAAACTAATACTTTACACTGTGTTATTTATAAGATGCGACATAGGGATTCCTGCATATACCTATTAGTACTATACTGCTAACTCCCTATCTATTCCATGAGAGAAAATCGTAGCGATTAAAGAGAGAGATCCGACCCTCTTTGGTGTGCTTAGTCGTTTATACGCAAGCGCATTATTTTAAAAGGACCAATAGCGAGTAGCTGAGGCCTAAAAAGAAAAGAAGGAAAATAATTCTTGAAATTGTGTTTAAATTCGGTAACCCGCCATATTTATACACGCAAGTCGAAGTCGATTTTTAAAATATATTAACAAAATTATCAAATAATGAAATAATTTTTGTAATCACTTTCAAATCATTTTAAAATTATTATCAAAAAATTAAAATAATTCAAAAAAATTGAATTAGGTATCTCCCTAAAATTTTATACTTGTTAATTAAAAAAAAAATTCTTTGACTTAAAATTTATTAAATTAATTGTGTTTGACCTTATTTTGCAAAATTAATATTTTTCGAAAAAATATAACAAATTTGAAATATTCGATAATTTTTTCAATGAGTGTTTACATATTTTTATTGTATATTGAATTTTTACTAAATTAAACCAAACGGAACTTACTTTCTGGACGTACCTATATTTATAATTTTCAAGAAAATAAAACTCAGATAAAATATTTACATTTTATTGGTTACAAAATAAAATTAATTTAGTGTACTTATTTCTAATGTATGTATCTTTGACCGATGCTAATTTAGCTACGTGATGTAGCCTAATTTTGAGAAAAACATCAATAATTGCTTTTATTAATTGTTGTACGGTTGTATGGTTTTCCAGCGGATCCTGCTCAATTATGTGTTCTTTCATTTCTTTATAATTAAACACTTTTTTAAAACTTAAACTAAATATTTTTGTGGCCAAGATTAAATTTATATTTTTTTATTAAAATTTGTTGTCTGTCTAATGACTCTCTCACCTATTTTACATATATATGTGCAGTCTTCTCCGGGATAAGAAAGTTTATTATTTTTGTTTTCTATCCCTATTAAAATAATTTTTTTGTCTGAAAACAATTGTTCTTTACAAAAATCACAAGTGATACATTTGCTTAGTTTATTTGCGATATATCCACTGATGTATCCAAAAACGTCTTCTATATAAGAATTTAATTCCCACATTGTGGTTATATAATCGTGGTCGAATACATTGTCTTCTATTATTGTATTATTACACAATCGTTTTGAACTTACGTCTAGTATATCTATTCCATCCGCCAAACAATTTGAATTTGTAAAAAAAGTTATTTCATTTTTGATTAATAGTCTTTTGTAAGCACTTTCAAATTGCCTAGCAGACGGATTGTTATTCCAACCTCCTCGTATTCTTATCGCACTAAAATAATAGACAACGAGAAAAAATAAAAATGGCTTCCACTCTCCACTTTCCACCTAAATGAAAGCTAGCACGTATAGTACTAATAGGTATATGATTAGTACTATACCGCTTACTACGGTCTAAAACCCGTAGCAAACATTATACTGTGGTGTGCCTGCTTATTTATGCGCATGCTCAAGTGAAAGATTTCTTGATTGGCTACTTTTGACAGAGCAAATGAAACGTCAGAAACGTGCTAGCTTTTATTTTGGTATATTTTTTGATATATTTTTAAAATCGACTTTGACTTGCCTGTGTAAATATGTCAGGTTACCGAATTTAAACACGATTTCAAGAATTATTTTCCTTCTTTTCTTTTTAGGCCTCAGCTACTCGCTATTGGTTCTATTAAAATTAACGCGCTTGCGTATAAACGACTAAGCACACCATAGAGGGTCGGATCTCTCTCTTTAATCGCTACGATTTTCTCTCATGGAATAGATAGGGAGTTAGCAGTATATTACTAATAGGTATATGGTACTAATAGGTATATGGATTACTGTACAAATGTGTCAAAAGCAAGTGTCAAACTTGTCAAACTTTTTTACCAAATAACGTTCATAAAAAATAATAACAGATTTGAAAAGATCGCAAAAAATATGTCGAAATGGACATTAAATTGTCTTAAATTCGTTCTGGTTTATTAAAAAAATGTATAATTAAGTTGAAAAAGTCATACGCCATAAATAATTCCTTTTTATAAAACTATCTAATTTGTTGCAAACGGGGCGGAGCTAACAGAGATGGTTAACGCTTTGCAATTTGAAAAATAATTTTGAAATAATGTGGTTCAAACCGCGCTTGGGCCAAAGTTTTTTTTTCGTTTTTTTTAATGTTTTTGTCTAAAAAAAAGTTAAATAAAAATATTTAAAATAAGACAAACTTATTTGAGATTTAATTTTATTTTTATTTAAATAAAAGCTCCGACAATTAATTGTCAATTTTGATAATGCAAAATCTCGTTAGTAAGTAGAGCCTTTAAATTAATGCCATATTTTTATTAATGACAAAAAAACATTAAAAAAAAACAAAAATACCAAAAAAAATCAGAAAAAAATTTCCGCACTCGCGGTTTGAACCTCAATCCTTCACCTCGAAATTTTCAAATTTCAGAGCGTCAACCAACCCTGTTTACTCCGCCCCTTTTTACATTAATTAGATAGTGATATAAAAAGGAATTATTTATGTCGTATGACTTTTTCAACTTAATTATACATTTTTTTTAATAAACCAGAATGAATTTAAGAAAATTTAATGTCCATTTCGACTTATTTTTTTACGATCTTTTTAAATCTGTTATTATTTTTTATGAACGTTATTTGGTAAAAAAGTTAGCTTGCTTTTGACACATTTGTACAGGAATCCCTATGTCGCATCTTATAAATAACACAGTGTATACACTAATTCCAAAATAGTAGGCACTAAATTCTCAGAAATGATTGCGATAATGGGTCTCTCCCAGTGGCGTACGGAAAATATCGTAGGCTACAAGTGTGTTTGACGAGAAAATCAGCAAGAGACTAAAAATTAGAAGAACAAGGATTATGTAATAAATAAGAAAAGCGACAATATTTCCGAAAATTTAGTGCCTACTATTTTGAGTATAGACGGTTTTATTTTACTATGGTGATTTGGCTGTTTTGGCAATTGGGGGGGTCTGGATGGGTCGAAAATAGTCGCAATTGGAAGCAAAATTTTTTATTAACTGATAAACGTACGTACAAATACTTATTAAAAATATACAGGTATACGAAAACGATTCGTATATTATTGTCGCAATTAATTTTCGAATATTTACAGCTAGTTATGAAATAAAATGATTGTTGTCAAAAAATAGTTACTTTTTTTTGCAAAACGACGTCTCTATGCCTGCAGGCTATACTTATACTACATATATACACAAAAAATACAGGATTTGGTCGTTAAATCATTAAAATATGAATATCAATTTTACCATGATTTCCACTAGAGTAAATATTTCACGCTTTGGTTTTGTCGACCAACGCGCTTAATTTAATTAATAATAATAATAATAAAAATAATGGTGATTTCTCAACAGACAAAAACAACAATACAACAATCGATTAGTTTTCGAACTATTCGAAATGGTGCACCGGAATTCCCCACCAAAATAATGATCCCTTTTTGGGTCGCAATTTACCCTTAATCCCTTATTGGAATTCCACGCCGGAAAAATGACAATGAGTTAAGTAGAGGAGAACGATATTTGGTAAATAACGCTTATTTTGTAACAGTCGTTATTGCACCTCTACACCAAAAAAAAATCGATTGCCACCTCTATTGAACTTCTGTCACATGAAATGTCAATGCTGACAGTATTATTGAGCCACGGCTCTATAATTCTCAGGTCTGGAAACTCCCTATGCTTATGCATTAGAGAATGTGTCCCGTT